CACCATGCCGCAACTCGCCTCCACCTACCGCGCTGCCCCCGAAGACGTCCCCACCCCCTAGTGGTTCCTCGACCACGACTTCCACCTCTCCTTCCTCCACCTGCCCGGCAACAAAATCACTGGATACGGCCAGACCTCCCAATGCCAATACATTGGGTGGCTCCTTCTCCAACCCAGCCCAGAGTTGCGCAATGTCCTGGAATGGCGGTTCCGGGACGTCCCGCCCACTAGTCACGCCTGGGCCATCTACGGCGAGTCAGTCGTCACCCTCACCCACCTCCGGACCTTCGACTGGGACGTCAGCGAGCTCACCGACCCGGCTGACCAATGTCGGGCCTACGATACCGTCTCCCAGCTGCGGGCCACGACAATCGCCATGTCCGACCACGCCTTAGATATTGTTTGCGCCCCCCATCATCTTTTCCCCATTGCTGATCTCGTCAACCACATAGAGCAGATTGATCGGGAGTGCGAGCGGACCTGGCTGGAGCGCATCATCGCCGCCAACGACAGCCACACCGCCTCTCCAATTCCCCCCACGCCGCCTCTGTCCGCCCCGGAATGGGGAAACCCGGCCGACGTCTCCGGATGGGGTGACCCCATCGTCGACTGGAGCAACACCAACTGGGGGGACGTCTTCATGAACGCAGCCGACATGGAGTGGGCCTCCCCTGTACAGCGTCTGCGCTGCTCTCCTCCGCTCTGCGACTCCCCCTCTCCAACACTGCAGCACCTCCGCCCAATGCCCGACCGCCTACGCTCCCGCGTGCCCCCTCCGACCAGTACACACCCCTCTCCCTGCTCTCCCAGCCCCACCTCCCGCTCTCCGAGCCCCGTTGACGAGAACGAACCCCCGTTCGCCATGGTCGTCGACCCCTCGTTGCCCATGGAGTGGCCGACCTCGGCCGTCTGAACGGTCCTCGGCACCATCAGCGGAGGCGACCTCAACGACACCACCGACCCCGACGCCCTGTCCGCGCCCCCTGCCCCTCCAACCCTGCCGCTCCGCCAACGCACCCCTCGCACCCCCCCGTACCCCGCCTCCGCCCCGGGCCCCACCACAGTCCACTATCGGACGCTCCTCCTGGGCTACCCAGCATACGGGGGGCCCTCCTCTACGACGAACGACTCCCGGACGGCTGACAAATTGGGCCGGAAGAACCCCGTCACGTCGGTAGACACCCTTGGGAGTGGCGTATCTCAGGCCACCTCAACAGAACTGCTCTCCTCGAGGTCTAACTCCGGAGCTACACCTGGGACGAGCGGTGGGAGCAAATCCCTGGCATCGACAACGCCTACTTCATCAGCATCTTGGGCGACAATCTTCACCCCAGTGGACGGTTCACGGAGGCCCAATACCTGGGGTTCCTTCGGGTGATGATCCAGGCACACGACTCCGCCGCCCGCGTCACCGACTGCGATGTATGGAGAGAAGCGGCCGACAACCTCGTCAACACGTATAACGTCCGCAACATCCCCGTCTCGGTCTGTCAGTACCGGAACGGACGCGCTGTGCGTCTCTACGACAACATATTGGGGAACGACCTCCATCGCAGCGTATGGGGGAACTTCTACGACGCCAAGATCCTCGACGTCTCCAACTATGGTGACTCCCCTCCACCCACCCCTGTCACACCTGCCGCACCCGTCGAAGAGGTCCTCCTTTCGCACAGCCCTTCCCCCGTATCCCCGCCCGCTGTCATCCATGACGTCCCCGCTGACACCATCTCCGCCCCTTTCCGTCCCATGCGCCCCGCCCCCGCTAACCCCTCGTTCCGTTCCTCATCGCCCCCCGTCGCCTCCTCCACCATCGCACCGTCGCCGTCCCGCACCATTACCTTCATCACCGGAGGCTACTTCAACCCCATTGACCCTGGCTTGAACATCGGCCTCTGGTACCTGCCAGCGCCCTCGTCACTGCTCACGGAGCCGGACTTGGAGTTGAACGATCGGGACGATCGTGCTTAGAAACGGGGGTAATGCTACCGTTGGTACGCCCCACCCCCTATCTTTTGTTATTGGACTACTCCTTCTCATCGCCCACGTGTACACTCCACCCCCTTTCCTGTCCCTGGCAACCTATGCTTGCCTCCCTGTTCCTCCGTTGTCCGCCTGTACACTACCACCCCCCATTCCGCCCCCTGATGACTATGTTTCTAGTTACGGCCCTCTCCCTTAATACTTCCCCTTTCGTCTATATGACCGGACCCTGAGTCCGACCCTGACCTTTCCCTTTTCGGTTACATTACTTTACCCTGACCCAGACCCCGACCCTTGTCACGCCCCTTTCCCTTTTCGGTTACATTACCTGACCCTGACCTAGACTCGGGACCCTGCCCCGCCTCTATCCCCTTTCGGTTATATCACAGGACCCTGACCTAGGTCGTGTACTATACCGGGCCCAGCCTCGACCAGAGGCGTTCCTTTACAGTCTCCTTATACCTCCCCACTTTGGTCGGTTCCCTTTCCTTCCTAATACGGACGGTACCCCGTAGTATATAAGGAGGCCTGTAGTCGGTAGAGGCTCCCCACTTCTGTTCTCCTCTTCGTTACCTTCTGTATCCCCATATCCCTCAATCTAGGCACTTGTGCGATACTCTCTTCCCCCGTGTGCTACACCGTGTACTTGGATAAGTCCGCGTGATAAGTCTGGATAGACTTGTGTTAGTACTTCAGTGTAACAACAGCCCCGAGTTTATCAGGTTATGATGTTGGAGTCGGTGCTGTAGCGCCTGCGGTTTTAATCGCACCAAGTCCCGCATCGCGCCATACATAGTTCGCACTGTCCGCTATCTACGGTAATTTTCGTATAGTCACAACTCTCGTTTCCATACAGATATCGCATTTCTTTCACTAGTAGTCTCCATTTCTGTAGATCTGACTGCACTCTAGAATAGTGTCTACCTTATGCACTTCTGGTCCGTTTGGCGCCATTCCAGCGCCACGTAGTGTATGGTTGTGTTAGCTAGTTCCCACGCGCTCTGTGCGCCGTCATCTGCGCCTGAGTCGACTCTGCAGTCCTTAAGACTTACAGAGCTCGACTTAGGTGTGTAGCACAGTTTCCTTGCAATGAAAAGACTTACAGAGCTCGACTTAGGCCATTGTGACCCCTCTGAGGCCCACTGCAGCTAACAGCGCTCTGACCGAAGTTTCGTGTTGACGTTTATCACTGCGCGCACCCATCATCCCTCTCTGTCGACACTCGGTTCTGCCCATGC